TATCCAGCATTAGGTAAACTGACAAATGAGATGACGAAAAATATCACAAAGTAATCAAAACTTCTATGCAACACTTGATTTTAGAATTAATAACAAATATATCAATGGATTATTTCAATCGTTTTTTATTTTTCTGTTTTACCTTTTGTCTTTTTCTCATCCTTATTAAGTACAGAAAATGTGTTAGAACTAGAAAAACTGTTGAAACCAGATTGAGAAAGTAATGCTCAGCAAAAGCATCTTTTGAAAGTTGTGGCTGTAAGCAGATTTGACAGTAAGACTTAACATTTGTATAAAGTGCATATTACATAGTCTACAACTACAGGAAAGTTTAGATGAAGCAATATCACCATGGTAATATTGTTTACTTACTTACAATATTTACTTTGTGCCTCGAACTTTCTTCGTTGATGTTGCTCAAAGATGTTTTAACGTACAGCCAAATTAATGTAGGTGTAACGACTTTAAGGCACAAAGTAAAGCTCGAAGCATTTTTCTGTTGCGATGCTTATTTGAGTTTTATTGTCAAATCTTCCTCCAGTATTTTTATGCCACAACTAAAAAAAGGTTTTCTTTATTTAGAGGTTTTCACTTCGTTTTGTTTTTTCAATTTGGTTTTTTTTTCATTTTCAGTTAAGCAAGAAGACCAGACAAAGCAATACGATAATCTGCACAATTCAAATACAGAGAAGCGTTATAAAAAAAATATCAAGAAAACGAAATACGTTGCTTCCGTTAGAAAATGCAATCAAGTGCAAAAAAAGATTAAAAGGAAATACATCAGGATTATGCTTGCATCTCATTCTAAACAAAAATTCACCTGTGATTTGTGTAAACAGACATTTATTAATAAGGGAATATTAAAAGCGCATTTGTTATTTCATATTGGAAAGAAACCATTCCGCTGCTTAACTTGCAATCAGAAGTTTTCGTGGCAATTTCTTTTACGAAGACACGTGAGAGAACACAACACTGAAAACCAAATCGAAATCGATAATAGAAAAGTTCGTACGAAGTCGTCTCCAAAAAATCGTAAAAAATCTAATACTGGACGTAAACGGCTTCAATGTGATATTTGCAATCAACGCGCTTGGTCGAAGGATCGTTTAGAGAGACACATGAGAAAACACATACCTCATCGTTGTAAGATATGTAACAAAGAGTTTAAATTCGAATGTCGTTTGAGAACTCACGAAGAGGTGCATAGTGAAAACCGACCTTTCAAATGCGATATTTGTAATAAGTGTTATAAAACAAAAAAGTGTTTGAAAATACATTACGAAATTCATAGTGAACGACGTGACTATTCCTGTGAGATATGTAACAAACGTTTTAAAACAAAACGCTCTTTGGCACATCATAAAGTCATTCATAGCAACGAGTTTAATTATTCTTGTGAAGTATGTAAAAAACGTTTTAAACGCAGTGCTGATTTTAAAAACCATGTCGATCTACACACAAACGAATACAAGTATTCTTGTGATATATGTAACAAAAAGTTTAAAATTAAACGCTATTTGATACGGCATCAATACTATCATATCGACAGAAATAAGTACGTTTGTGACATATGTAAAACAGGTTTTAAACATAAATATCTTTTGGTAACGCATCGCTTTGTTAAACACGAAGATATGTTCGTATGCAAATATTGTACTGCGCCATTCAGAACCGAAAATATGTTGAAAGCTCATTTGAAAAATCATATTGAAAAGTGTAACGTTTGTAATAAGGAATTTAAGGATAAACGCTGCTTTATTCTTCATCAGAAAAGTCATTATGAGGTAAAACCGTTTCTTTGCGAGACGTGTAACAGAGGATTTCGAACTAAATACCTGTTAAAATGTCACGAAAGTTATCATAATCAAGACAATTATCGTCATGTTTGTGAGGTATGTGAAAAGGGGTTTGATAACAAAACTAATTTCTTAAAGCATCAACTTATTCACGCAGAAAAACCGTATCCTTGCATTAATTGCAAAAGAAAATTCGAAACTGAAAGTGAACTGAAATACCATTTAAAGTTTATTTGTACGAAAATACATCCGAAGCAATCTCCTTATCAATGTAATATCTGTAAAGAGACTTATATAAATGCACATGATTTGGAGCGTCATCTAAATACTTACAATTATGAGATGCATTTCTGTTGTGATATTTGCAGAAAGAAATTTACAAGGAAAGTCGAATTTGAAAGTCATCGAAAGACCGCTCATCCCTCGAGAGGAAAACATCGATGCAATATTTGCAAAAAGACATTTAAATCAGAGGATCGTTTGAAAAGACACGTGGAGTTAATTACCGATACAAGCGTTAAGAAATGTGATATTTGTAATAAAAAATTTTGCACGAATCTTGCACGAAGTGTTCACGTTCGAAGCCATCTTTGACCGTAGAATTTCTCTTGTGAAATTCGTTGAAACAAATTGAATGCTATATTTTTAAATAACGTCTAAGTTAATACAGTAAATATATTATAAAANTAAAAATATAGGCTATATAATTGCTAGTATTCTATTTACTTTTGTCGTGCCGAAACAATTGTATATATTATTTATATCCATGATGTGGAATCTATTTTCAAACCCGTAGTTAAAGGTTGATGTCTTCATGTATTCGTATCTTATTTATCAAAGTTAATGAAATAAAACAACCATTATAATATTTTAAACACCAGAATCGTACATTACATACATTGATTTTAAGAAAATAACTGCATCGGTGGCTTTAATTTTTTTTTTCTTTTTTTTCTTAAATAACGTTTACTTTTCTGGCAGTTATATATAATAGAGGAAAAAGTATGGCGATCGGTCAGAAAATGACTCCCCCGAACATTTTTATATATTTTTGGACTTAACACACCTTGAAACATCGAGAAATGAAAAAAATTTGGGGGTATTTTCTGTATATTTAGAAGTGTCTGTGAGTGTGAAACAAGTTTTGTTCACCTTGCTCGAAGCTTAATCGAACAAAATGACAAAGGTCGAACTCGACTGTCTTTTTTCCCTTCCCTCTCTTGCACGTGGAAGCTACTCGAAACATTCGCAACCGATCACGACACTATCCTTCTATGACTAAAATGTCTTATTAATGTCGTTCTCTTACGTCTGGTTGACACTTCACATCGGTAAATACAATGGACCCCTCCCGATTCGTGTTGACTTCTCTCCTATCAAAATCGTACCGACATTTTCTTTCGTAGGCATGAATTTAAATGAATAAAGTAACGTTAACATTATGAAAAGAATAATGTAAACATAGAAAGTTTGCGAATGACCTATAGAAAACTGCCAAAACGCTATTTTCTCCTGTCATCGAGAGTAATGTGCCTATCTCAGTTTAAAGCTCATACGACCATTAGTTATAAAAATATGCCGTTTAAAATTATGCTTACCTATTTCGTATTTTAGTTGTTTTTCTTGTCCTTAACGGAAGAAAGTCGAGGGGTAGAACTTCTCCAGCCCACGTGATAATTATAAGGTTCCTAAAATTTATTGTTCCTAAAACTTTTCTTTTGTACCATGACATTATTAAAATGTTTCTTAACCAAGACGACACTAAACCAAAAGTGAGAGAGATAAATTGTTTATAAAGCATCAGTCATAAAACAAATTTGATAAATCTCCCACATTATGTTCCTTTTCAACATTCCTATATTTTGATCTAGATCTTTACTGTATTCATTTAAGTACTGTATAATATAATTATGGTTTAAAGAGTCGTTCTAGTATATAAATCATTTTGACGTATTTTACAAAGAAAATTCCATTCTAATAGTTTTGCACGTGAGTTTTTACTTTCCCGGCTGTCCCAACAGAGAGAAAATATTTCAAAAGGTTAACAAATATTTATTATATTATATATTTTTGGACTGAAGGGACATTCGAATGTAAAGAAATGTAGAAACAGTTGAGATCTTTCTCTGTATGTATGGATGTTGGTAATCTTTGTGTGCGTGTGTGGGGGGACATGATTTTGTTCACCCTGTTTCAAGCTTAATAACTCCAATGCCTTTTGTTGAGAATTTCTGAAATTTTGGGGAGAGGTTTGTGCCTTACCTTACCTTATAAGAGTGCGTGAACTCCTTAATATGATATAACATATTAAGGAGTTCACTCACTCTTCTTATAAGGTTCCTTTATCTTAAAAGATTAAAATTTTACTTTAAGCAGAAAGAAAACAAGTTATACATCTTATTACAGTTAGAATAACTTAGCTTTCATATCGTATAATATGTATGGGGAGTATATATATGTGGCATCAGATGTTATTTGGCTCAGAAGAAATTACAGTATATTTGTAAGGAACTTTGGTTAATCATTATGTTTAACGATTTAATGAACTTCCATTTATACTTTTTGAAAATATTATAAAAATAATATGCCTAAATTTAACTCGTAACTTATAATTTGACTTTTAAAAAAAGCATTATTTTACCTCAAATAAAAGTGGTTTAACTCTAATTTGCCCGTTATCCGGAAGGAAGGGAAGCAGAAGCAATGACCCAATTCACCCTTGACCTCTTTACAAATAGAAAACAAAACATAAAGCGGGGTATAAAAAGTAGAATCTCCCGTAATACTTATACAAAAAATGTCTGGCATTCTATTAAGGATAAAATCAAAAAAATACACAGGTGGGTTTTAATTAAGAACAATACTTGTTTACCATATAACACGTTGTTTTATACTTACAAACTGTCACATGACGTGCACCCCACGATTTCTACCATAACCTTGAGGTGTGCACCACTAACAATAGCAGTGAGTTTACTTGTCTTTCTTTGTTACTTTGCTCTATATTTTGAGGTAATTATCGTGGATATTTATTAATTTATATTGATTAATGAGACACTATTCAACTACAAGAGGTAAGTGATTGCAATTGTATGAATTTTATTCATTTATTTATGGAAATATAAATTTTATCTCGACGGTTTTAAAATGTTTCTTTGATTGAATGGAGATTGCTGACAAACGACAATATTGTAAATTACTAAAATGAAAATAAAAGAGGAACCAGAATTAGAACATTCGGATATTACATTTGAACCTGTATTAAAGAATGAAAAGAAACAACTTAAGACGAATTACGAGCAATTTTGCAAAATAATTAAATCAGAACCTTTAGATTATCGAGAAGATGAGGATGTTGAGGTGAGTAAAAAGTATTGTTCTATACGAATCAGCTTTGTGTTAAGGACAAGAAATACAATTAAACTGTTAAAATAGGAAATAGAATAACATTTTTTATATAGTAGGGTAATGGAACTCATCGGGTAATTCCTTTTATTCAATTATCTGGAAACAGAATGCAATTGTTAATGTGAGATGAGGTAGTCGTCAGCTAGCAAACGTCATCGTAAGTTTATAGTTCTGTGTGTAATGGTCGCCATTGACAAGTGAAGTGATGGGCGTTGTATATGGCATGTGCAATTATTTATTGTGACATCGTAACAATGCCGGGCTGCAAATTTTTATCATGTTTTTAACTTAATTAATTTAAATTATATGCTCTCCAACCCAAATTGGTAGTGTTTTGCCCTTGTACATCACACTTTTTTTTTTTATTAATAGAGTCGTGCCGGTCATATATTAACTGCTTTCAGGGAAAAACATTTGAACTGAAATAATGTACTTTCAGTTTGCTTCGTTTGCATATAGTTAATCGGGGCCTCCTGTTAATAAGGTTTCTATGTTTTTGTCTCGTATTTCTTCTAACTCCGTTCTCGAGATTAAGACAGGACAGACAACAATGGGAATTTATACATCTATTGATACAACTTTTTAAAATTGCAAACCAAAAATGCCAAATGAAGTCATTCTATAATTTTGTTTTTAAATATTTGTGTTATAAGAACTAAAATAATTATTTAATTTTCATGTAGCCTGGTAAATAATAGAACTGGAAACATTATTAATGAAAAAAATGTTAAAAAGGCAAAAAAATGTGTTGTATGTAAATCGTTTAATTGTAAGTAAAATGATAAAATTTGGTAATTTTTATATACTTTATTTAATAATACTGAAGAGGGTCAAAAGAGCTATTCATAAATTACATCCAAATTTCTTTGGAAATTTTTATTCTTCATCTCCTCTTCGGACGTTCAACAACTTTTATCATCCGACCCTTCTTAAAGTCTTCATCACTTTACGAATGATAGATACCATAAGTAAAAAGGAAACATTCAAGAAATTTCAAAATAAATATAATATAATGCATAACCTGTATAAAATTAAATGGATGGGAGGGGTCGAGCGCTTCTCCATTTTATTTCATTTTTAACATTAGACTGCTTTGGATCTTGAATGTTATATTTTCATGATGAGCCGTAAGTCTGAAGTGATGACATCTTACGACATGGCTGAACTGTTCAACAAAAAGTATGTCTTATCTAGAAAAGGATAGGAGTGAGATTTAGACATTTAATCCCAATGTATACATCGATAAAGTTTTCACAGCTGCGGATAATTTGAATTACACAAACACTACAGAAAATGCCAATAGTGTGATATAAAAAGCATTGCAAGATAAAAACGGAGAAATCAGTTAAGCCCCGTGTTTTAAATAACATACAACAGATGTCTTTAGCTTATATTTCACCTGTTCCTTCTACTTTAATATTAATACTAAACGGCAAAAACTAATTAAACCTAATGAGAAAACACATCATTTCTAACAACTACTCCAGTAAAGAACAAACTGAACAAATTATAACAGTTTAAAGTCCGTTGTTTGTAAATATTAAATACATCGTACATTGTACACAATCGTAAATAAAGGCCATATTTATTGTAATACACAGCCGAAACTTATTCTAATTACAAACAACTAAATACAATTAAATAGTTAAAAGCAAGAAGTATAAATGGATATTCATTATTAGTTTTACAGGACAGGAATTGGATGGAAAAATAGACAAAGAATTTAATGTAATCCATTCCAAAATATTGGTTATTTTAAAGGGATGTTGTTTTACAGAGAAACAGTTTAATATTACAAATATACTATAAATCAGCAGAGTGATATAATTTATTACTTTTCGGGCTCTGTTATATAAAACACAGGGAAAGTATGGCGATCAGTCAGAAAATAACTTTCAAGATTTTTATATTTTTGGACTCAAGACACTTTAAAACGTCGATAAACGGGTTTTTCTTTTGTATATATATGTATATGGGGGGCGACACCATTTTGTTCACCCTCTTTTGAGCTTAATAACTCTTGTTCTTTTTCTCAAAAATTTCTGAAATTTTGCAGGGAGGATTGTGTAATTAGGGAATTTATTTCCTTAAATATTGATGGTTAAAGATCGAAGAAATGAAAAGATAAAAAATAAATAAATCTTTTGTCATATTTCGAGTAAGGCCGGACTTAATGACGATTTTACTCGTTAATAGCACTTACAATTTTTGTATAAAACCCATCCCTACCATCAAAATTATACTTTTCGCTTTCTATAATATTTAAAAATATAGAAAAATATTTTTTTTAAATAAAATATCATAAGACAGGCGTCATATACGGTTTTAAATGTTGCCGGGAAAGTTAAGCAACTCGTTAGTAAGCTCATAATTTAAAGAAATATTATATTTAATTTAATTACTTTTTATTTATTTTCGTACGAAGACCAATTCGTCTGATAATTTAAAGGGGTTTTTCTATAATTTCAGATAAATATTTATGGAAAATCAATTTGTACAAATAACACAAACGGTTCTGATATTTGGAATTATTGTGGTTTTAATAATGAAATAGGTAAGAGACTTTCGTACATTTAATACTATAAAGATATGTTTTTTTTATGATTAGATGAATAGTTAAAGCATAAATATAAACTAATTTGAATAGAAACTTTGCGAATATTTTATGTATAAATAGAGTCAATCTTGTGTATATTATACGGCACAGTTCGTATTCTATTTGTATTAGTTTTGGTTTAATTCTATCGGTTCTGGATGAATTAACCTGTCTGTTGCAGGTTATCACCGAGAGCATAATTAAAATTTGCCAACTAATACTACAGTTATTGTATTTTCACTCGAATATATTGTGATCGATTTAAAAACGACAATATTTTAAATAAGCAACGTATCTTCTACGTTTAATCGTCGTACGTTGATAGTTTTTCTAAATCTTTTAATTACAGTAGAGCGACGATTATCCGAATCAATTGGGGACTGGGGTTGTTCGGAAGATCGATGTTTCGGATAACCGATTATGTACGAAAAACATTAACCTATCCCATCTTGGCATTTTTCTCCGTTGCGTGTCGCTTCGCGTTGAATTTTCGTCGATGTTAAGCCTAACGAAGACTATTGTATCGTTAAAAATTATTTTTTTATTTTGTACGAACAAAATAAATATATTGAAAAATATAAAAACAATAAAAAGTTATACTTCAGATGTTAATTTAGTATCAAAAACGTAAAATATTTGAGTAGCCG